TAGATCCGCGCATGGATGAATACCGGGTACACAGAAAAGGAGGTAACGTTTATAATTTACCAATTCAACGAATTCCTATCAAATCGCTATCATCTCGGGAATAGAGAGAAAAATGTGAAAATAACACATCCTAAATACCAAGCTAGCATATTTTAAAATTATGATCTATGAAGGCAACGAAATTACATGCACGAGATAATTCTGATATTCTGGTACATGTATTAAATAATTGCTGTCCTTTTATATAAAGTTTGATACCCCTTTTGATCAAAAACTGGAATATGTTAGTCCGTTCAAGTGTAGATCAGGGCGAGTTATATTTTATGCAGTTTATAAGATCTATATTATATTTTTTAACAATAAAGAAGATTGAAGATCACCCTGCTGTTGTGATATGGAACGCTTTCGACCATGCAACAATTACAAAATCAATGTTGCTGATCAGCCGTGGATATTTTTACAATTAATATAGAATAAACGAAAGTACACTACCCTGCCCTGTTGATTTATGTTTGTACTTTTAAATGAACACCCCCTCCCCCCTCCAAACACTATCGAATATATTTATTTAACTTCGTCAGTTTTTTCACTTGTAAAAATGGATATTTTTTTCGATTGTGTATGTAGGTATAATTTCTTTAGATTTGCCCTTGCATCTACCTCCAACTAACTGACGACCTGTAGCATAGATATTTAAAGCACATTGCGAAGGGGGCGTTGCGAAAATATTTTATAAATACTGAATTCAAAGATACACCAATGCACTGACATATTTCTGTATTTTATATTTGGACCAAATGCAATTATAATTGTTTGAAATATATATTGATGAACATATCAATATACAGTATACATATGTACATACATCGATGTCCTCAGTGCGAAGCTACATGTACGCACAGCATCATTAATAGGATTTTTGCTTTTGACGTAGTATGAAAATTTACTTTTCTACACCTGCATAAAATTATTTCAGAAGATTTTGTTTAAAAGTAAAATAGATCGATGGCTGATATACGCATGTAAATTGCAGCTATAATATGTAACAGTGCTGACTCTACCTCTCCTAATATTATAAGGAACTTGAAATTGACATATACTCATCCAAGTTCAAGATTTTGTTTCGTGGAATTGCAGACAATTAATGTCTAAATCCTTCAATTTCGTACATTATTTCTTTTAATATTTTAGCAGCAATCTAGCACAATATTATTTTGCTTGTATAAGAAGGGCAGACGTGATTATGATATTCCATATTTTCACAGTGATATGGATCCAGAAAAAGGGGGTGTCCATTTTTTCAATTTGAATTACAACGAAGATAGTGAACAGCTTTAAAACGAAAACAAGCGATTGAAAGGGGGTGAAAATGGAGATGATAGAAATAGATCTCTGTTAATACATGTAATTTTTAAAATGATATCGAGTAAAGTTTAAGTGATTCATCTTGAAAAAAAATCAATTATCATCTAAAATAATTACAGTCTTTATGACGTCACAATTGACGTCATGTTCAAAGACTGATGAAGAGAAATGTAACTATATGTTTTTTGAATTCAGATAATATAAATCGAAGATCATGCCTCTACACAAATTTCATTTCAAACGAACTACTGACTATTTTTTTAATATATTGTGTGTAATTTTTATACAACCATTGTTTTATAAACCAAATATTACCGAATGTTTAACAAAACTGGTGAATCTTTGCGACATCAAAATTTAAATGTAAAGGCATATTTCATATTGGCCACACGTATGAACAACGATTATATTAAGCGTGTAGATTCGTATCAGCAATATTTATACATATGATAAGTATGAAAGTTGTTCTTGACTGTGGCCACACTTAATTTTGGGAAAATCTGTCGAAAAATCGGCATTCTTTAACGTTTTTATAAAACCGTCGCATCTTCAAACCATTGCACGTGCCTAACAGCGCATTATTTAATAAAATGAGTAACGCAAGGAAAAGAAGTATGTTGTCCTCTAATAATTAATGTATAATACCAGCCATGAATAGAAACTCGATTTTTGTGAAAAACACAGGGCCAAATATGATGGTTCGTGGCTCTACCTCTTTGGTCGGTAGGTAATTGTGTGCTCTATGTTTTCCGAAAGAAAATATGCTGTAAAATTAGTGAAAATTTGCATAAAAATGAGATATTTCGAAAATTGACCTATTTCCTGACCTCACTATGACTCCTGTATATCCTAAATCTTAAAACCAAAACTCATTTTGGGGCAGGCGCGGAAACAGGTTTTCATGGATAAACTGTTGGATCATTCTGAAAGACATCCAAAATCGGGGGCCCAAATACCACTCTTACCCTATCTTGTCCTTATATGTATACATGTATCTTGAATAGTGATGCAGCTGAATTGCTTACATTAGAATGTATCAGCATATGAAGTTTGACACTAATTTCATTAAAGTGAGATCAAGGTCAAAAGAAATACTAAGGTCAAAAACTGTTGGTTCAGTTGTAAAGCTCTCATCGGTAAATATCAGCAAATGAAGTTGAAAATATGATTATAAATGGTTTCTTTAAAACTGACTTAAACAAAAAAATGGATAAAAGTGAGGTCAAGGTCAAATGAAAGGTAAAGGTAAAAAACAATGATGCACTTGAAATGCTTACCTCAATATCTATCAGTTTATGATGTTTGACACTAATTTAGGAAAAGTGAGGTCAATGTTAAAGCAAAGGTCAAGGTCAAAATGCTGATGCAGTTGCATATTTCTCATCGATATGTATTAACATAAGAATTAAAAATATCAAAAAGGATTCTTTAATTAAAGACTGACTAATACACAATTTGATAAAAGTTAGGTCAAGGTCAAAATTGTTGATGCAGCTGAATTGCTTACATCAGTATGTATCAGCATTTGAAGTTTGACATTGATTTAGGAAAAAGTTAGGTCAAGGTCAAATGAATGGTCAAGGTAAAAATGTTGATGCAGTGACGTATCTCTCATCAGTATGTATCAACATATGAAGATTGATAAAAATATCTAGAAATGATGTCTTTAAAAAAAACTTAGGTAATCAAAGATCCTCAGGGAATGCAAATCTCACATCATATTTTCTAAATATTCAGTATTTATCTTAACAACAATATTCTTGAAAGTTATGTTTAACCCTTTACATGGCATATACACATTTCTACACATGTAGCGTGAAAAACATGTAAAGTGTGAACAGATAATATTCATAATTCTGTTAATACTGTAGATATCAAGAGCTTCAAATTCATTGAGATTGATCTGTTCCCAAAACTTTAACCTGGTAACTCATCTGGAAAATGTAGGTCAGATCCAGCAACCGAAGCAAGTCTGGTAGTGTCCATCCATAGATGCATCATCCATGCAAGTTTGGTTCAGGAAGGGCTTATACTTGGGAATGAAAATGTAGGTCAGATCCAGCATCTGAAGTAAGTCTGGTAGTGTCCATCCATAGATGCATCATCTGTGCAAGGTTGAATCAACATGTGAAGTTTGATAACACCATCTTGTCTGAATGATATGTTTTAAACTGAGTTAAACGCTTTAAGAAAAGCGAGGTCAAGGTCAAAGGAAAGGTAAAAAATATGTTGATGCAGTTGCATAGCTCTCATCAATATTTACATTTGTATCACGAACCTGTGTATTTTCCTTTACTGGCAGCAGTTCATTAAATCTTGATACACCAAGGGGGTGGAGCTTCCAAACATACAAAAACTTCCAATATCAGGAAGTTATTGTACAGAAAACTGTACAATAACTTCTTACCAAGTCTTAAGAAGCCCCACCTCCTTTTGAAAATGGGAAAACAATTTTAATAACATTTTTTTTTATTTCTTGTAACATTAATCAGTAAACTGAACTTTTCAACCAAAAAACTTTACATTTACAGTCATACTTTTTTTAGCAAGTCTCAATTCTTAGAAATTGAAAGAAATATTACAATTATGAAAGTGTTGTCCATTTGTTATATCGGAACCAAAAACTCGGGGTGTTTTCTTTAGAAGGCCTTCATTTTCACTTCCCATGTCGGACTCCTCGCGCTTTCTTTTCTCTCGCGACTGTGGCACTCCGGGATCGAGTACTTCAGACACCTTTCTAAAAATTTCGTCACAAGGTTTTTTTATATTTACGGACTGCTTTCTCAGATCGATGCCCTGTTCTCCTCATTATTTCTTGCTCGTCCAACCCTGCCATATATAATTGAGTGGCACATGTGCGTTTTCCAGAATGGTTACTGTATTGTCCAGACAGTCCAGCTTTTGCGCAGATCGTTTTCATCATGGTCTTGAGCTTGTTTACACCAACAACCTGGTTCCCGTATTTCGGCGGATGTCACTGCAGCGGACGTCGATAAAATGGTCCCTCGTTACCAAGGCCAGCCAGATAAGTCTTGTAATAGTCGACGATGCAACGTTCACCTAAATTGAATGATTAATATAATAGTAATAAATAAGATGAGGTGCACATGGGATATGTTATTCATGAATATTTCCGAGTCGTTAGGTAATTAGTCATGCACATATAATTCTGAAATCAAAATTAGATTATATACTAAATGAAATCGTATCTTACCAGGTTGACTATAATGTCGAATCTTCTTGTTTGTCAGCTGCATTTGGGCCAATCCAGTGAATCCACCCTTGTAAGTCTTGCTGGCACGTCCAATGAATTCCACGTATTTTCCAGAGCTGTCCTCCCCAAGAACAAACTGACTACACTCAAGTTCGTGATGCTCGTCATGCCCCCTTAAACCAAAGAGTTTACAGTTATAGAAAACATGGTATGTTGAAGACTTTCGGAACTGCCATCCCCAAATACACCTTTCTCCCACATGCTTTCCTCATCCCGTGGCATAATGGGCTCAGCTTGCTTAATCACCGTCCTAAACCCGCGCTTCAAAAGGTCTTTCATTTTGCTGTCAAGAATTTTCCGGAATTCACTAAATCTTGGGTCATTATTGTCCAAAATGTTTTTGTCGAAAACGTTTTTATTTCTAGAGGTGGCGCAATATCCCACACCATATAAAGTACAACGATCGGGGAGGGTATTCAATGCCATCTTTTATCCGAGTTACCACAATAAAGCGCCCCGGGTAGAAATTCAACTGCTCTGCCGTCATTAAATGCAAGAGTGGTATTTCACCAACGGAATTACCATTACGTTTTTCTCGCCATTCCTCGAAAACCTTGAGCGCCCAGGTGGTATTTTTCTTGGTGTTAGCATTCTCGTTCGACGCGATCAATTTTGAAATTTCATCATCTGTCACCGGTTTTCCGAACCGTTCACCGTTATCATCACCAGAATCCGATTTAACTGGTCGAGGCTTTGCATCGGAAATATCAGCTACTGGGTCCACAGTATCTAGGTTGAAAGACCCAAATTCGGTACCAATTTCACAGTCCATATTTTCGACACGATTTAAATTCAGCACTTCACATAGACCCTCTGATATGGCATTTTCTTCTTCAATTTCATCAAATACCTGCGAGAGTTCGATATCTTCGTCGGTAACTCCACACATGTTAAAAAAGTCTAAATCTCCTAAATCGCCCAGGTTAATAGTCGACAAATGCAAATCGTCTAGGCCTAACACGTTCATCGTCCTCGGCTTAATCTACGTAAATGACTAAATGCGCAGAACATCACGAAGAATTAGCGGGAAATGACTACGGAATGTCCCGAGAGTCTATAGAACCAATATATGCCGGTTGCAGTGCGGGAAAATGATAACGAAATCTATCGAATGCTGCCGATACTTTCGCGCCTCTATAACGAAAACCCTCGATATTTTTCGCGGGTTATTTTCCGGAATAAATTCTCATGCTGTTTCATGGAAAATGTTCGCCCTAATATTTCGAGCTCTCTGATTGGTTCATTGATACAAGTCAGTTAAATTACATTTTATCTCGTGAATTATGGATAATCAAGGGGGCGGAGACTTGTTTGCTTCGCAAACTCGTCACCGCCCCCTTGATTATCCATGATACACTCGATAAAATGTACTTTAACTATTATACAATTATTTAATGCCTGAGCAGTCAATAGACCAGAATATTTTTCCCGAGGTGCTGGGAACAGCTCAGTGTGTTCTATTGCCCGAGGCCAGCGGCCGAGGGCAATAGAACACACTGAGCTGTTCCCTGCACAGTGTGAAAAATTTTCTGTTCTATTGACTGCTCAGGCATTAAATAATTGATTTATTACCTAATTTTATTTTCCTTATTAAGTGTTCACAATAGTATATTCAGTACAGAAGGTTCCCGTACCATGTTGTAAATTTATACCTAGATATGATACATTTGTAATTTTAATTAACAGTGGGACGGACAACTTCGGAATGGACATTTTTGAACTTGCGCTATCTTTTCCTTTAAAGCTATCATCTTAGGGTTTTTTTTAAATGGTGGGGTTTTTATGATCAAATTGATTTATGAAAAAAAAAATTCAACATTTTCTGCTAGTTTTTGAGATATTTGAGTTCAAAAACAAAAATCCCATGGGGAAACATGAACTTAAAAATACCCCACAAAAAACCCCACAAAAACCCCATGGGGTTTATTTTTCACCCCATGGGGGAAAAATCCCCCAAAATCAATGTAGGTTTTTTAAACCCATATGTTGCTTATATTGTCATATGGGGTTTTTTCTCCCACGTTTCTTTATCATGGGGTTTTAAATCCCATGTATTGATATATTTACTGTAAGATAATTCCTAGGAAAACTTGGAGTTTTTTCTTATACTAATGGATCATTTATAAGTATCTTCTCTGTTTCTCATTCTATAAAAGTGTATAGTTATAACAAATATCTATTATTTTTCAAATTTTCAAGTATTCATTCTTCAAATTTTTGTTTATGTAAAAGAAGATTTATATGAAAACAGGTTTCTAAGGCAGTTGCCTCCCATAATGAAACATTCATCATAAAACTCTTCACAGATTATTTGATCAATGACAATTAACATGATTAATCTGAATATCTAT